TAGATATATTTTTATGATTTTACTTTGAATTTTTAAATTTTAGTAAAAATTATAAATGTTTAGTTATGTAATCAATTTTGGGTGGTGGTAACTGGCATTGTTAAAAATAGTTTATTGCTATAGTTAAACATTTTAATTGTTATTCATTTGGTTTGAAATCACACATCTTGATTAGAGTGGTAAATTGATTAATGTTTTGCTTATTTTTATGTGTTAATGTTTTCATGAAGCATATTTGTATCCTCTGCCTATAGTATCAAACTTTTTTTTTCCAGGAAATCTATATATAACACAGTCGGTTGTGTCTAAATAACTGTAAACTACACAGTAAAAAGTCTCCAAAAAATAACTGAAATCTATTAGTTTTAAAAGTTATGATTCTTCGTTAGAAATAAAATTATGGTAATGCATGCTTGAAGATGTCATTTATGCAACTCAAATAAATAACCAACTTAAAAGAGTTTTTTTCCCAATGTCATTCTGGAAACTTAAACTAAATAGATACAAATGTATTCTTTAAACTCTCACTACTTGCAAAATTTAGACAATTTTTAAGTGACTCCGCAGATATATGCCAATTACACACGATGAACAGAACAAAGATGTAAACATAATGACAGCATGCATGCCTGAATATGCCATATATTTCAATAAACCTAACAAACCACAATAAACAAATCAACAAAGCGTCTCTGTAACTAAACTAATGTTAAGCCAACCCATCAGAAAATTTATATTATATCTTCGCTCCAACACACCTATATATAGGCAAGGAACACACGTTTCAAGGGATCGAACATACAAAATAAAACGACATGCGCACCTACACACAATTTCTTCTTTAGGAACTCAATAACAGTTCACCTTTCGGATCCTCGTTACAGTATTGCATGCCAAAGGTGAATTTTTTTTTAATGAATGGTAAATTGTATTCAATCCAAAAAAGGGTTTTACAGTGGATTCAAATCAAGTGCTTTTTAACTGGTAACCTATAGTAAGCATTAAAAAACATCCACATATCATAATCCATAATTCAGAGAGAGTGAAAGATTGCTTACAGTTCAATCAAGAAGCGAACCACAACTTTGATGGTGGCAGAATCGTTGCTCAGATCAAACCCCTAGACAGATCGGATTTCACCAACAACATCTGACCACAAACAAACAAAAGTCTCAAAAATAGAATCTTGATACAAAGAATCAAAATAATCATAATAAGACAGTGTCGAGTGGAGATCTATATATACAAAAGACTAAAGACAAACCTTGTAGCTCTAGGTTGGTGTTCGCTAGCAGGTGGAGGTGGTCATAACGCCTCACCATGAACCTGTCAGACTTGATAACATGGGCGTTTGTGTGGACCTCACCTTGTACATGTGGGCAACCCGTGCAACTTCAAAACGCTCCAACCTGACAATACAACCAGCTTTCAACGATGGTCAGTATGATTCGCTCGAATCCCAGGGATGAAAGCGTGAATAACCGAATTCTGTAACAAAAAAAACTAACTTTAATAGTTCACTGATGAATGTGAGAAAACAAATCTATGTTATACACAACACGTACCAGTTCGTCGAGGAGTAACAACGTAATTCCCATAAACTCATTGTTCTTATTAACGTTGTGTGAATCCCATAACCGAATTAGGTGAGCAACAACAGACTGAACCGTCCTTCAAGTTGAGAGGCGAAGGTGGAGTACTCGACGGCGGCGTTAGCGTTCTGAACATCTGAAGAAGACATCCCTACGACGGCGGCTGCGTGGTTTATCAGAATATAAGGTGGATAAAAAGGGGAAACCACGATCTACAGTTACAAAAGTAAAGATGAGGAGAGGAGTCGAAGAGTACGGCTTTGTGGAAGACGTTCGCCAGAAAGGGAAACGACTTGAGAAGGATTTAGATGATCTGTAAACGGGTCAATTTACCCAACTTAAATGGGCCAAAAAATAAATAAAGCCCGGTTACTAAATTAAACAGGTGAACCAAAAAAAAGATGTTAAGAGGATTCGAACCCAATACTTGCAGAAGGAACCTTTAATTAAGCGGATTATACCACATGACCAAATGATCATCAATTGTTAATAGTCAGCATTACTTAGTTTTGTAGTTAAAAAACCGTACATGGATCATTAAAAAAAGCTGACGTGGCGCGCTGGGAGTGAGTAAACTCCCTCATTATAATATAGATTTTGATTCAATGTGTATCAACAACACGTTTATTACATATTGATATTAATAACTTACAAGACCTGAGTGTTTTGGTCAAAAAGTTCTAATAAAGGTAAGGTAGTTTTTTTTTTGGGTTTTTAGTAATAAAACCCCTCAACTAAAGATGGATCGTAAAAAAGACCCTCAACTAAAAATTTAGTGAAATAAACCCTCAGCTTTAGTTCTGTTAATGTTTGTCATCCTCCGTCACAGAATTTTAGACGGAGGGTGATATACGTTAACATAACTAAAGTTGAGTGTTTATTTCACTAAATCTTTAATTGAGAGTTTTTGTTACAATTCATCTTTAGTTGAGGGGTTTTATTACTAAATGCGGTTAAATATTTTAAAATCTTTATTATCATTTTATTCATTATTTAAGAATATCAAAATTGATTTATAAACATTGAAAATAATTTCTATTCTTTATATATTACTTTATAAATTTTATAGCCTATTTATAAAGTTTTCTCATTTAATAATTTATAAATTATTATTAAAGTTTAATAATGATTTTATAAGATTAAAGATTTGATGATTCGTCATACTACAAAAACATGAAGTAAATAAATAAAACAAGAAAAGCTTATTGATTAATATGGTATGAGTATAACATATTAGTTCAGAAATTAAAAAGAAGAAAAATATTCCTACATTATTTCTTTTGAAATAGAAAAAATACGAATCAAATTAAAATTGTTTAAAGAGAAGAAAAAATTCCTTGCTATATTTTAAGTAACAATGTTGAATTTCTAAACTAATTAAATATCCTCAACACTACCTACAATTTTATATAACTTAGAAATCTTAATTATTTGATATTAGATAGTATTAGGGTTTTTAGTAATAAACCCCCTCAACTAAAGATGAATCGTAAAAAAACCCCTCAACTAAAGATTTATTGAAATAAACCATCAATTTTAGTTCCTTTAATGTTTATCACCCTCCGTCACGGAATTTTAGACGGAGGGTAACATATGTTAACAAAACTAAAGTTGAGGGTTTATTTCACTAAATCTTTAGTTGAGGGTTTTTTTTACGATTCATCTTTAGTTGATGGGTTTTATTACTAAAAACCCTTTTTTTTTTTTGCTTTTAAAAACATTGTATGCGGTGTGAAAGCAGCTGCATGGGTTAATACGTCGATAATTTTAGTATAATAAATACAAGACCTCACTTTTTTTTTTTGTGAGAAGAACTTATAACCGTCTCTCTTCTCGTCTGATCAATGAAGCCAATACAAACTGATATGTGGAGAAGGGTCGAGGAGCTGGAACGACTTGAAAGCTTAAACATAGACATCTCCTCGAGTTCAGCTTTGGAGGAACTGTTCAACGATGATGAGTTGGCAAGTTGCATCAAAGAGGTATGTATAAAAGATGTTAAAGAAGAAGCACTAGTTTTGGCAACAATGGAGCGTCTAAGTAAGCTCATCATAAGGAGCTGTGATATATCTGAGATAGAGATTGGGAGGACACCATGGGACATTATTCTGACTAAGTCAAGACTGAGAAACCTCACAAGTGTGATTGTAATTGGCTGCAATGGACTAAAGGATTTGACGTGGTTGTTGTTTGTTCCTAACCTTACTCATCTCGAGCTTCAGTGTTTAGAGAAGGTAGAAGAGATCATAAGCGAGAAGAAAGTTTCAAGTAGTGTCACAGATGAGCCGAAAGCGCGAGGTATGAATAGTCCTTTTCAAAAACTTGAGAGGCTTGACTTGATTAACTTACCGATGTTGAAGAGTATCTACTGGAGTCCTCTGCTCTTCCCTTGTTTGAAGAAGATTAATGTAGTAAAGTGTCCAAAGCTGAGGAAGCTTCCACTCAGTTCTGGAAGTTGCGTTGGTGGTGAAGAACTTGTTATAAATTACAGAGAGGATAAATGGTTTAAAAGGATTCGTTGGGGAGATAAAGCTAGTAAAGACCGTTTTTTACCTTGCTGTGAAAAGGTATGTGTTACTGGAACTTATTATTTTACTATCATATTTGGGTTTTACTAATCTTAAGTTTTCACGTTGTTTTGCTTGTCTCAGCTCCTGACTTCGTACTCAGACAGGAACAGCTCGTGAAGCAAGTCAGTTTCCTGCAAAATCGCTACTGTTTGTGTTTACTATCCTTTTCTGAGTTGTCATTTGTTTGTATTATAGTGTGATGGTGTGCTTAGTCTGTTGCTTGATATGCAACAGACTCATATTTCTTCTATCATTTTGTTGAGTGTGATTTGTGATTTGGGGGTGTGTTTGTTATAATATCCTTTATTGAATCTGAGAGTCTCCTGCACTAACTTATAATCATTCGTCAAGAGGGGTACTTCTCCGCACAACTATCTTTTTTCTTGTAGGAAAGGGAACATGGGTATGTTTGTATCTTGTAACGAAAGAAACAGAGAGACCAATTGATGAAACCGAGGAGAACAAAACAGAGACTCGAGGAAATCTAGATAGAGAAAGATGAATACAACAACTCATTGATATTTTCTGGTACGTCCATTGCTGTAACATTAAGGTATTCAAATTACATTCTCCTGCAGCAAATGGCTCTTCTGGTAAAAACTTCATAAGAGTGTTAGTAAAGTTGTAATGGAAATAATTTGCTAAAGTTGTAATGGCTAGATATTTACAAAATACAACAGTGACACCTCTGGACTGGACTGGACTGGACTCATATACAATAAAGCAAACCTCCGTTGACCGTTGAAAATTCAAATAACGCGTCTTTGTTACAATTATCTTCATCTTTTGATTATTGGATCAAGCTTATAGCTATGTGAAGCTCTCTTCCTACTCTCTATCTATCTATCTCTCCAGGAATGGGAGATTGTATCTCTGCCTCGATTTGTGTCGTGAATATATTCTCAAAGTGGTTATTCGCTAGATGGAGTTCTATTCAAAACCTTCCCGAGAATCTAGCTTCTCTGGAGAAAGCCATGGAGGAGCTCAAGGCAAAGCGGGATGACGTGCGCCAAAAGGTCGAAATAGAGGAGCAAGGAAGCGATCGTCTCCAGAGGACTAACGAAGTCAAACTATGGCTTAAAAGAGTCAGGAAGGTCGAAAAAGAATTCAAGGATCTTTCAAGTAAGAAATCTGTTGAACTTGGAAGGTTTATTCTTTGTGGATTGTGCTCTAAGAACTTAATATCTAGCTATCAATACGAGGAAAGCGTTTGTAAGATGTTGAAAGAGGTTGCTCATCTCATGTCTAAAGGATCTTTTAAAGTTGTGGTTGGGCCAACTACAACATCTACTTGGGTGGAGAGGCCTCTAGATCCCAACATCGTTGGTCAAGAAAAACTTCTTGCAGCTGTATGGCAAAAACTCAACACTGATGAAGTAGGGATTATGGGTTTGTACGGAATGGGTGGGGTAGGTAAAACAGTTCTTCTCGAGCAGATCAACAATAAATTCAGCAGCAGTAAGTCTTCAAATGAGTTGTTGGTTTGGGTTTCTGTGTCCATGAATATAACCGTTGACAAGATTCAAGACGAGATTAGCAAGATACTAGGTCTCTATGAGGAGGAGAAGTGGAAGCAGAAGACAGTAAGCGAAAAGGCAATCATCATCTACAACTTCATGAAGAACAAGAAATTTTTCTTGTTGTTGGATGACATATGGGAGAAAGTGGATTTAAAGAAGATCGGAGTACCTCATCCAACAAGAGAAAACAGATGCAAGCTAGTATTCACCACCCGTTCTAGGATTGTATGTGGTTCCATGGGGGTTGATCACCAGTTTGAAGTCAAGCTTTTGTTAGAAGATGAAGCTTGGGACTTGTTTCAAAAGAAAGTCGGAGAAGCTACGTTAGGAAGGCACGTAGACATTCGCAGACTCGCAAAAGAAGTTGCAAAGACATGTCATGGTCTACCATTAGCTCTGAATGTCATTGGAGAGACCATGGCATCTAAAACAACAGTGCGAGAATGGAAGCAAGCCATAGGCGATATGTCTTCTTCATCATCATCATCATCATCATCATCTGCCATAGAGATTGCAGGAATGGATGAGAATATCCTCAAGGTTTTGAAGTATAGCTATGATGGACTCAGTGGTAAGTATGTCAAGGCGTGTTTCAGGTATTGCGCTCTGTTTCCTGCTGCTTCCGCACTGAAGAAAGTTGATTTGATAGATTACTGGATATGTGAGGCTAATAATTTGGGCGTCAACCAAAGTAGACAAAGTGCTATTGGCCAAGGTTATAGGATCATTAACGAGCTTGTTCGCTCATGTTTGCTGAGGAATGTAGATAGTGGACAATACGTGAAGATGCACACTTGGGTTCACAAAATGGCTTCTTGGATTGCAACTGCTAGTGGAAGTAATAAAGAAAAGCGTGTTGTGCACGCCAATGATGCTGAGCTACATCAACTACCGAAAGTGAACGACTGGACACGTGTGTGTAGGATGTTGTTGATGAACACGGGTCTTGCAAAGTTATCAGGAGGAAGCCCTAACTGCTCTAGACTCACAACTCTCTTCCTCCAAAACAACCGCAACTTGGTGCATATCGCTGGTGACTTCTTTAAGAATATGCCAAAGTTAGTTGTTCTCAACCTTTCATCTACCAAACTCGAGAAAGTGCCGAAGCAACTTTCCGATTTGATCACCTTGCGGCTTCTCGACTTGTCGTCCACAATGATAGAGAACTTGCCGGATGGTCTAGAGAAGTTGGAGAAACTAATACATCTGAATCTGGAAAGGACTTCTCGGCTTAAGAGTGTTGTTGGGATATCAAGAGTGCCACTTCTCAGAGTGTTGAGATTGCGTTCTTCCAAGTGTTTGGCTGATCTTAACACAGTCAACGAGCTCAAGAGCATGGAACATTTAGAAGTTGTCACCATTGATACCTCCTCAACTACAGCCTTGGAGGAGCTACTAAGGCATCATAAGTTGGCAAACTCTGTCCAACGACTGACTATCGTTGAGGCAAATAATCTGGTTTTGTCAGCTACGGATGGTCTCATTGACCTCACCATAAGAAATTGCTCAACGCTGGAGGTAGAGATACAGAGGTCATCAAGCAGCAGAAGCCTGAGAAACTCAAGCTTTGATAACCTATCAACAGTGTGTATTAGTGGCTGTGATGGTCTTAAAGAGTTGACCTGGTTGTTGTTCGCTCCAAACCTTACTGTGCTTGAGCTTCGGGGTTCAAATAAGCTAGAAGAAATAATAAACAAAGAGAAAGCAGCAGCTCAGCAGATGCAAGGAGATGCTCCTTTACAGAAACTAGAAAAGCTTGACCTGAGTGATTTGCCTATGCTGAAGCGAATCCACTGGAGTGCTCTGCCCTTCCCATGTTTGAGAAGCATTAAGGTAAGAAAGTGTCCAAAACTGACAAAGCTTCCACTTGATTCTAAAAGTTGTGATTTG